CCAAGCATCTTCGCTTTAAACAGCTTGTACTCAAAATTAAAACTGTGGTAACTTCCAGTTATACAATTTCCCAACTTGACTGTGATCAAAATTCCACCATTTCCTTCAATTAATCAATTTGTACATTCATTGGACTATTTTTTTCTCTAAGAATACTCACAGCTTGTAAAAACAAGCCAGCTCTTAAGTACTCAGAGAATTCCTTCGGACTAAGATTGAACCACTTGAAAACGATATCAATATGAAAAAAAAAACACTAAGGCATACAGATATTACCATTGGATATCTTATAGCTCCCGTCTTTAAATTTATTTAAAGGTGCTCTTAATGGTGTACTTCCTATTGTTTTTAGAAGCTTTGCACAAACTTCGTCATCATTTTCCATCTCCTTGGTGGAACTTATTGACCAAGGTTTCTTGACATTTTTTTAAAATGGGTTGTCCTATTTCCTGCATTAAATTTCCACGAAAACTTTCCGTCAAAATCGCGCTGCACTTCTTTCTTAAAAAGGCCATCTACCTATTTAAGCATATCCTAAAACGCTTAATTTCGTCATCGGATCGTTTTTCCAACATTTGCAGTCAACCTGAATGAAGGACCTTCTCAGTTTCGCAAAAGGCTGCTTTCATTTGCGCCGATAGCGACATTTCGATCTGGAAACAAATTGAATCATTCTGATCTCTCAGCGAGCGAATTCAAGTATATTTTGGAGTTTTCTTTTTGTCAAATATGACATGGAAACTCTCTATCTCATTCGTTGACTTTGCTAGCTTAGTTTCAGACAATGCATAGTTTCAAACACTCAGCTTAGTTTCGAACAAGGCTCAATCAAATTGATTTATTTTTTTGAAGAGAAAAGTTACTAGCCATCAATTACAACAATTAGAGAGCAAAATTGAGCATCAACAGAAATGTTACGGATTTGAAAAAACCAAATCTGATCACGACATGGTTTCTCTCCAGTCAATGTTTCAGTGATTTGCGCTTTAGCTGAGTCTTTCTACATTTTCTGAATTTTTATCTCTATCGTTTTGGGATCTTGATCACTGCCTAAACAACTCATGATTTAAACAGATTCTTCCACGGAAAAAGGCTTGAATAACGCATGATTTAAACAGACTCTTTAAAGAAAAAATAACGGCATCAAGTAACTCACTATTGGAACTTAGCTCTTCACTCGAAGTAGACTAAAACCTCATGCTCAAATCCGTCTTTTTTTCCTGATCATTTCTTACAGATTGACCTCTCGTTCTCAAGGCACAGTCACCCGCCATTATTTTGTCATTTTTCTTGAATCCAACGTCAATGTCGGTAACCCACGGTCCTTAACCAGAGCGAGAGTTAAATAAGCCGGTATTTCCTTCTCACATTCCCTTCAGGAATACATCAGATGATGCGTAGTCTGATGATGATAGCTGTTCAACATCCAATTTCTGTCAGCGATTAGCTCAATCGCAACAGACTTGGAAAACTTCGCATCATTATCCAAAATTTTGTCAGGCATTTGGGTTTCACCCACTCCTATAAACTCAATTGCTTGTCATAATAGTTTTTCAATTCTACTCAAAGAATGGATTAAAATTTTGGTGATACGGTTGAGGTCAACAACCAAATCTCGATTCAGTTAACTCAAATACTTTTCAACCCACTTTTAACATCGATTATTGGGCTAAGCAAAAAAACCTGTATGAAAACGTTTCTTATTAAAAAAAGGGGGCACACCGGGGCGTCTGTGATCAAAAAGTAAGATCGTTTGACTTCACAGTTTAACAGATCTGTAGCTTTTTTTTGTTCTTCTTGGTTCATTATTTGGTTGAGTGGTATTTTAGGCCGTTTCGGAATTGATGCAATGTGTCCATTTGGGTTTTTTGTACTCACAGCTCTCAAAGTTTTTTGCTTCTATAATTTCCGTCATGCCTTCGATAATCGAAATGATAGAACTTTCTCTCCTATTTTCCCCTAAAAAGAATTAAAAGAAAACAATGTACTATACGAATTTAATAAGATAACACACCTCAACAACAGAATTTCCAACCAAACTGTCTCTTAAATCTTTCTGGAGATACAACAAAAAAATCGCTATCAATTTTCCTGGTCATCTTCTTTCCTTTGGCGCAACATTTTTCGAACATATCTTTAAGGTCACTTTCACGTTCTAAAAATAAGATTAAATTTGTAAATGATACAATTTTCTGTTCTCTTTTCCCCTACAGAGAATAAAAAGAAACATATAGAAAACGAAATTAAAAAAACAACATACCTCTACAATCAGAACTTCCAACCAAACTGTCTCCATTAAATCTTTCTGGAGATACAAAATAATATCGCTATCTATTTTCCTTATCTTCTTCTTTCCTTTGGAGCGACATTTTTCGAACATGTCTTGAATGTCACTCTCACGTTCAGAAAAAAAAACTCAATTTGTGATAAATATTCTCGTTAGATCCATCAAAACAAAAAGATACGACACACATTCATTTCTCTCGGCTGGTTTTTCTGAGCTCTGAGGTACAGATGCGTGGACCGACTTGAGCTTTGTCTCGTTTTTCAGTCCCAAGAGTTTAGGAAGCACGGAATTTTCCGGATCCACATTCATAGCAAAAAAATTTGACCATTGATGAATTGACAGAGCAGATCTCAAGCTTGCATGACTTCATGGAAGCATTTACTTAACCTTTCAGAATAGCCAACTCATTCGATTGCTGAAGCTTGCAGATTAACTTCTCCAATCTTTTTTCTGCAGATCGGACGACACAACTTCTGCGATTTTGCTTTTCAAGTTCTCTTCATAACATCTAATTGCATTGGAAGTAACAGATTCCGCAGCTGCAAATTTTTCAATAATTGTATGCTTGAACCACATGATATCTCAAGCATTATAAAATAGAGAAAAAAGTTATTTAAAGAAAAGATCTAAGAAAGTGATTTAAAAAATTGATACGAAAACATAGTATAAGAAAGTGGCATAAAAAATGATATAAAAAAAGTAATATATCAAAATGATATAAAAAAAGGCATTAAAAAGTGACTTAAAAAAAGTGATATAAAAAAAAGATATAAAAAGTGATAAAGATAGAAAAAACGAAAGATAGAAAAACAGAAAAATAGATAAAAAGAAAGGTCGAAAAAAAGATAGAAAAAAAGAAAGATAGAAAAAAGAAAGATAGAAAAAAAAGAAAGATAGAGAAAAAAGAAAGATAAAAAAAAGAACAATAGAAAAAAAAGAAAGATAGAGAAAAAAGAAAGATAGAGAAAAAAGAAAAATAGAGAAAAAAGAAAGAGAAAAAAAAGTAAGATAAAAAAATAGAAAAAAAGATAGAAAAAAAGAAAGATAGAAAAAAAGAAAGATAGAAAGATAGAAAAAAGAAAGATAGAAAAAAAAGAAAGATAGAGAAAAAAGAAAGATAAAAAAAAGAACAATAGAAAAAAAAGAAAGATAGAGAAAAAAGAAAGATAGAGAAAAAAGAGAAATAGAGAAAAAAGAAAGAGAAAAAAAAGTAAGATAAAAAAATAGAAAAAAAGATAGAAAAAAAAGAAAGATAGAAAAAAAGAAAGATAGAAAATAAAGTAAGATAGAAAAAAAAGAAAAATAGAAAAAAAGAAAGATAGAAAAAAATATAGAAAAAAAGAAAGACAGAAAAAAAAATAGAAAAAAAAGAAAGATAAAAAAAAAGAAAGATAGAAAAAAAAGAGAGATAGAGAAGAAAGAAAGATCGAGAAAAAAGAAAAATAGAAAAAAAGATACAAAAAAAGATAAAAAGGAAAGATAGAAAAAGAAAGATAGAAAAAGAGAGATAGAAAAAGAAAGATAGAAAAAGAAAGATAGAAAAAGAAAGATAGAAAAAGAAAGATAGAAAAAGAAAGATAGAAAAAGAAAGATAGAAAAAGAAAGATGAAAAAAAAAGATAAAAAAAGAAAGATAGAAAAAGAAAGATAGAAAAAGAAAGATAGAAAAAGAAAGATAGAAAAAAAAGATAGAAAAAGAAAGATAGAAAAAGAAAGATAGAAAAGGAAAGATAGAAAAAGAAAGATAGAAAAAGAAAGATAGAAAAAAAAGATAGAAAAAGAAAGTTGGAAAAAAGGATAGAAAAAGAAGGATAGAAAAAGAAAGATAGAAAAAAAAGAGAATAAAAGAGCGAAAAGCGAAGGATTGGAGACAACTGTTTGACAGTAGTACTATTTTAAAATGAATCGTTGAAACCAAATTGAAAGTTACAAAATTAGGAGACGGGTAGATAGATATAACTAAATTCATTAAAAAAACAGGTATACAGACAGACAGACGGATTTTATTTGGCCTTGAAAAAAACTAATGAAAAATTCATGAACTTGTGAAAAACTCATTAAAAGATTTTCTTAAGCATTGCAATATATGATATAGCTTAAACATGAAAAACTTCTTTCGTTAAACATGCAAAATTGTTACACTTAAACATGGGAGATAGCTGTCACTCGCATTTAAATATAGTATAGATGTAGATAGATTTAAAAATACATAGCGATAAAGCTCTTCAATTTTCAAGAATTTTTTTTTAAATGACACTTTTTTGCGAAATTGACCTATTTTGAGAAAATTTGGTGAAACGCAATTTTTTTTATTCCGCCGGGAAACCTAATAACTCAATTCCACTTTTAAAACTAAAAGTCGTTCACATGTTTTCGCGCAATTTCTTTTTTTAATCGGGATGTGTTATTTGCCTTCCTTTTAGCAAATGAATAAGAAGTTAACTCAAGCAAACGAATGGGAATTTGACGCAAAAATAATTGAAAAATCAATCTTAATCGTAAAAAATATTAGCCCGAAATAGTTAAGAACAAGTTTCCTGAGCTAAAAAAAAACTGCAGGACCTCAATACCAGAGTGACTGAATCCTCTTCATCGAACTTAATTATCCGAACACAATAAGTTTGAGCATTCATTGTTGGTTGAAAATATTCAAACCTAAGATTCACAAAAAAAAACATTAAAAAAAGAAACTTGAAGTAAAATTAACTTTTCAGAAAGACAAATATCCTATCAAGGCAGTGCATGCTGTGTATCCAGTGTACTACATGCTGTATGATTTTCCAGCTATGAAGGAATTCTCCACAGACCCTGCAGGTTTGCAATCAACACTTTCAGATTAAAATTTCATCTTTGTTTCGATAATTGTATTATCGATATTTACGTCGAGACCGCATGAACAAAAGTGTTACTAATTCTAATATCAATAAAATCATCAAAGGATTACGAAACTCAATTCGACTGATATTTATTGAGAGCACTAAATATTTAATCAGCACCCTAAAAAATCCTAGTTCAAAAAAGGAAAGTTAAAAACTTTTTTCAGGAATTCTGAACCTGGAAGACATAGCCCGATTATTTAACCTGTTTCTACTGGGCAATGGAGACTGTACTGAAACTAAACTAAGGAGCCAACACGTCAGTAAACGTGTTTGGAGCGAGTTCAAAGGACGAGTTGAAACACTTGCTATTTGGAACACTTATCCGCTTTCGAAAATGAACATCGAAAAAATTGATCCGACAACCAACGCAAAAAATCACGACGCTGATTGTCAAACAAAATTGGAAAATCAAATGTTGGATTCGAAAAATAACATCATATTTGCAGCTGCAAACGAGTTGAAAAGATTGAATGATACCCGGTTCAATGTGTACAGCTGTGAAATTGACCTTCTTCGAGATGACTCATTTTTCATGGCGGCCATTTTGGGGTCACTCGGGGTCGACTACCACCACTCGCATATTGAGAATTGCTACCACGGCGCATTTAATGACAATACTAAAGGAGGCATTTCTCTGATGGATGATGTCATCAGACAAATGAAAAAATATGACTTAAATTTGACGATTAAGCGGAATAAAAAAACTGGAAACTAATTGTCAGTAAGCAAAAATTTGAATATTTATAGATTACTAAACTACCAAAAAAACAGGATAGGAATAAAAATGAAAAGTGATAGTTTTTTAGGGTTTATAAAATAAATGAATACTCTTTACTTAATCATTGACTGAAATTAATAATCATTGACTGAAATTTTGCCTGACTTCGAAAACCTAGCTGAGCTGAAAATTGCCAAGCAACAGTAGCTGGTTTATGCATAATGCGGAGGCAGACGCTCCCATCCTCACGAATTCGACCCAAACGCTGAACAAAAACCCCTTTCGTGGGGGACGTTTCGGTCTGACAAAATTTCGAAGAACGTTTTTTGAGCCGAGATCGAATAAAAAGTTGGCTTGAATGAAAACAACCAACGAGCCCTCGAAATGAAAAAATTTTAGCCCTCGAAATTTAAAAAATTTCAAGTCGCGGAGCAGGAGTCGATCTAAATAATTTTGCCTATTTTAAAAGCACAGAAATGGACTTTACGGAAGACTCAGGAAAAGTAATTCTTACACCCTGCGCCATAGCATAGCGGTATGGAAGCAAGGACTCCAAACGCTGAACGCATTTTTCACGAGTGGAGCCAAGAAATAGCCGCCATCAACTAGATTATTACGCCCCGAGACTACCAACCCAAGACCAACTGCTAACACGCCGATACCTGGACCTTCGCGGTTCGTAGAGCCTTCGGTGGCATTAGCCAATATTGAAAACAAAAATATTTGATCGGCTCGTTTTCAACCTCCGCTCTCTGTGCAAGCTGTTTAATCTTCAACAGACAAAGACAACAAAAAGAGTTCATTGTTGGATTCTGGGATATTTGAGGTTCCATATTTGAGGTTTCATCATTGGATTCTGGGGAAAACATATATGAGCCCACAACACAGCCTTTATGCGTTGCTGGCCAAAAAAAACTTTTAAAAAATCATATCATCACTTCTTAGAGCGTCCGAAATACTAGCCCCGGGAGCCAACACGAACTTATTTTGCATGACTTTGAGCAAGCCGCTATCCAAGTTTTTCGAGAAAACTTCCCAGAGTCAAAGTATTCTGGATGTTTCTTTCATCTATCTCAAATCTACATGCGAAAACTTTTAGAACTCAGGCTGAAAAAGGAGATCGCAGAAAATTACGAATATGAAGTGGCACTCAAACTTTCACCCGCCAATTTGAGTCGGATTTCTTTCTTGTGTAACAACAACATAAAAAGGCATCTTATTATTGGATTCTGAAGCAAAATGAACAATTTTTTTAAATTCGCATTTCCAGAATTTTTGAGGACCAGTTATCGACTTACTATTAATTTATAGGAATTTGAATGAGGACGGAAGCAAATGCCACTTGTAATTGGGATTTATAACGCTGATAACTTAAGGTTCTATAAAAACTAGAAACCTTTCAAGTATGTTGATTTTACTGTTGATCAATTGATCATCTAAGTTTTATTTCAAAAATTATACCAGAAGCCTTGTATCAAACAGTGATTTTATGTTCCAATCGAGTTTATGGATCACTGTAATTTCCGCCAGCTACCAAGAGAATCATCACACGCATGACATGCGCTGCTGAGGGATTAATTTTTGGAATCAATCCTCTCATTTTTTACAGTGGAATCAATTTTAAATTCTATGCAAAAAGCGAAAACAAAAATAGTAAAAAACAGTAATGTAACACTCCCAATGCATTTGTCAGAGTAGAGAATCTTCTTATAACTTGAAATTTGAGAACTATAAAAGCCTTGAATTAATAAATCTTTTGTTTCATTATCTATTTCTTGTTTACTTTTTCAGCTGAAATTATTCTAGTCTATTCTTACTTTCAAGGAGCTTTAATACTCAAGCATAAAATACGTTGCCCTATCTACAATTACCACCATTTCGATAATTCTCCTCCGATTTTGAGCAGGCCGCTAACCACGTTTTTTAAAAAAAAAACTCCCAGGGAAAGTCCGGGTTGGAACCTGATCTAAACTACATTTTATGATTGGATAAATTAGATATTTTACCAATGTAAAGTATTTAATATTAACCAATCATGATCCATCTAACTAACAACCCACTTATTTGTAAGTGCTGAAGTTACTTGTAATTTCAGCACCAGAGAGATTTGAATTTAACTTAGAAATTAGTTGGACTCTCCCGAGCACTTCAGCAGCCGCAATAAACCAGTATACCCTAGATCTATTGAGCCTAGCAGAGACTAGTTAAACAACCTGAGACTAGATAGTATAAGAGTAAGATTAGGATCGGTATTAGACTAAGAAGTTGCACGAATCTATCCGGCCGAAAATAAGATAGCGTGACGAGCAGACGGTGTACCCTATCCGAAATTACTCTATGAGTTATACACTCCAGTTCTAACTCATCTGGTGCGACCATAAGTCTCGAACAAGACCTTAATAGCTTAGAATTAACCAAAATAGATTAGAAATTAGACAAAAACATTTACAAAATGTTATACGACAATAATTTAATCGAAATGTCTCTACGACTCAATAGATCAGAGCCAATATTCCGAACCATAACAGAACTACCCGGAATTGGAAGAAGACCTCGAACCAGAGACGACATACGACAAAGTAGAAACTTGCCATATAGCTATATGATAGTTAGGCAAAAACCAGAACAAACTTTTATATTTAGAATACTACTGGCAATGAATTTAGATTTTCATTTGCAAACATAAAACCTTGAAGTTAATCTTCAAAATCATTTCAGGCGCTAAACAAAATTATTAATATACAATAACGATTGATAAAAAGATCTAAGATCGTTTTCCTAAAACTCTGCAGTAATATACAAAACATGTTTGAAAAATATTTATTGAAAAATAAAAAATAAAAATTAGTAGCATGACAATAAATGGTTAGTAATCATAAATCATCCTGTTGTTCCAGCTCCATCACCTAAAACATAACAGCAATCATAAACCCACTAATATCATCAAAACACTAAATCTTTCCTTTACACACATTTAAAATTTTATTAAAACTTAAATTCACTTAATTTTAAAACCAGATCATCAAGGCTTATCCTTGGATCTTAAATCATTTTCTACTTAATTAAATTTCAAATTTGATCATCAAGGCTTATCTTTGGATCAAACAGAACAACTTTGTTCTCCCCCACCCACTTAATTAGTGTCTAACGACCTCAAACGTCGATTCACTACCCAACCCTTTCTAAAGACCTAAGACTAATAGAAATTTTTAAACAAAACTAATCATTCAAATTAGGATAAACAGTGAAGAACTTCGGTTATTCATCCTTCACTTGACCCCCCCCCCCTCTTAACAGACCCAGGATAAATCTTAGACTTAGTAAGTTTAAAATAGTATCTAACGAACTACTCGCGTTCTAATTATACCTGAACCTTGTGGATCGATTTACTATTCTCCAACCCTTGAACACAATCACTACCCCTAAGTAAGATTAAGTAAGTTAACACCTTAACTTATACTAGCCACGAGAAAGTAAAAAATCATTCTTCGGAATCGATATACTTTTCTCTCCAACCCTGAACAAATAGACCCAGGTTAAGCTAACCAAAAAATCGTAAGAACTAACAGTTTAGGAAAATAGAAATCATTTAACAACCTTTTGCATCCGTCATCCTAAACCTTATGTCATTTAAAAACCTAGGAAATAAACAAACAATCGTTTTACACAATTGTGAAATAGATAACAAAAAATACGACCTTGTAATCACACCTCATACACAAACAGTTGGATACATTCGAACAAAACGACAAACACTAAAAAGAAAAATAATAACGAAACAAAGACAAATAACACGAAAAAGATTTTCAAAAAATCGAAACGCATTTTCAGAATCAGAAACCAACAGTTTAGACGAACTTTACAAACTAAAAGAATCAATAGATAAAAATTGCCCACTTCACGATCAATTATATTTTTCTGACTCAGAAACAACTTCAAATTCATCAAAAAGAGGAAAAAGAAGAATAAAAAAGCAGTATAAACACAAACCAGTACATTTATACAATTGGAATCAACCAATTCGACACATTAATAATTACATCTTAACAGTCATCGAACGAAAAAATGAGCTCAACGCACACCCCAGGTGACGAAACCCCAGATGATGATGAAATCTTTCCTTTTATAATAGATGCAACCACTGATAGAGGACAGCATATATTTTGCAAAAATTTACTATTAAATTTATTTGAACCCGGAATCAGTCCATGTAAAACAGAGTTCCCAGATGTAAAAATCAAAAGACAAATCATAGACCACTACTTAAAAGATATATGCAACATAACACAACAGTATGGAATCTACTCCATAGAATTCACCTCACCAAACCATAATAATAGAAAATATACAATTCAAACAGACGATCTTGATTTAGAATTTTCAAAAGTTTTTTCAGAATATATAAAAAGCATCCAATATCAAAACTCACAAAGAGCAAACTCCATATTCACCAATGAAGTTTTCGCAATAATATATAGTTATATTTCGATATTAGAAAACGAAATCCCAATAACAAATGTCTCACCGACAGAAACATCTAAACATTTAAGAGTACGACATGAAATCACACTACTCTCTAGTTATTTAAACATCATTAAAGAAAATTTCACGAAAGACGACGTTTCACAACATACAAAACACGATCTACAAAAAATTTTGGCATGGTTCATAATAGATTATTTCACACACAATATTGATTTAATTGCACAAGCAAGAAAAAATTTTAGACCCCAAAACTCGAACGATGATACCGCTATCACAGAACAATCAGATTATGTTTGGGACCCCGAATGGTCTCATCCCGCATTTATAAGCTTCCCACAATCAATCTCAAGTCAAGCAATAAGTACGATATCTTACATAAGAGATTATGTAAAAATAATACCATTCACCATTGATGCAACACCATTAAACTATAATACATTTTTGCCCGATACACAAAATAATAGTTTAAACTCTACAGTCATACACAATGAAAACCTCAATGGAACTAGGAATCTTACTCAACAAGATATCCAGACACCATCACACTTCATAAATGAAGAAATTGTACACACAACAACTACACAACAAAGTATTTCACCAATACGCCCAAATTTAACAACACCAAGAAATACAAATCCTTCACAAACACAGGTAACCTTACAATCAACCGTTAAACCTTCGGTTGCCCCTAAATATTCACATATGGATTACCAAACATACAGACCCATGACAATACCATCAAAAACACGCAAAACATTCACTAGAAACAACTTTACAGACCATAATTATAATTATACACATCCATCAAAAACATATAATCAACCACAAAGAAATTTTAACCAATATACAAGATCTCGAAATTGGGATAACCCAATGACCCAACCTAATTCAATAAATTTCCAAACAAATCCTCCACAGGATCACAGTGAAAATTACCCATTTTTTCAACAAAATAAAAATAAAAAACAGACATCTTATCAAATGGATTATTTATCCTCAGATGATGATTTCTTACAACCAGATATATTTGCACCAAATACTCAAGAATATCGTAGACAAGGAATACAGAGAACACGTACAAATCATAGAAATTTTTCTCCACAATCAATAGATGCACAACATCAACAACCAATTCAACAACAAAATCTAATTAATACACAATCTTTTCAACCAATTCAACAACAAAATCCAATGACTGCACACTCGTATCAACCATCACAAATGCAAAATGAAATACCACTCCCATATTATCTCCAACAACATGAAATAACAAGAAACCAACTTTCAAATTTTTCTCAAATGCCAAATGCAGCAGAATCATTACAAATGACAATGAATCCATACCTTATGGGTGGATCATCAATAACATCAAACAAACCTTTAATGGTTTTCACAGGAACAGACCCTGAATACTCTGTAGAAGATTATTTAAATGCAGTAACAGCAAACCTGATTTTAAATATTGGACCTGAACCAATTAATAAGCCAATACATCAAAACTGGATACATCGACGCACAGCGTTAATACAAACAACCTTAGATGGCGCAGCCCAAAAATGGTTTTCAGTACTACCTCTAGAAATAAAATCAAACTGGAAAAGGTTTACACAGGAATTTTCAAAAATGTTTGACTCCGAAAGAAACAAACAACAACAAAGAGTTTTATGTAATGAAATTCGCAGATTACCAAACGAAACCATCAAGCAATTAGCAGTACGAATCGAAACACTAGTTCGAAAAGCATATTCACTAAATACACACGACTATAAAAACACAAAGATGACAGAAATCTTAATGATGACCTTAACACCACAATTAAGGAAAATAGCAATAAAAAAGAGAGCATCCCATCCTTCTTCAATTCGAGAACCCGATTTAGATTTTCGAAAACTAGTAGACAAATTAGAACAAGCAGAAATCACGATGAAACTAGAAGAAACGGAAAATCTGAAATTACAATACGTTAACAGAATTGAAACGACTCCCACTAATATTAATAATATACAGGAATCAGAGACAGACCTCGTTGAAAAAATCACTGAAATACTCAATATTTACGAAAAGAACCCAAACTTTAAAGGCAAACCATCTTTCAAAAAATGGTGTAATTATTGCCGACGATACGGACATAGTATTTCCGAATGTAGACAAAAACAGCAAGACAATCAAAATAAACCTCAAAAATATAAAGAACCAAATAAATCATTCCATCAATACATGAAAAAAGATCAAAACCTACCGAA